CTGACAGCCAGCCTGGGGCTACAGGCAAACGTCAGCCCTCCCCTCTTGCAACCAACTCCTGCCTCCTGCAGCCTTGCAATTACAGCCTTTAATTAAGCCATTAACCCCATTGGGGTCACCAGGCAGCAGGGCAGGAGCTGGGGTTGGTGTAACCCTCTCCGGGACCAATCACACCCATGTGCCCCCCCAAAATGGGGCCAAGCTGGAGGCTTTCCCTGCTCCGGGTGGCACACACCCCACGGCGGCCCCACCGGCACCGGGAACAGGATCTGTCGGGCGACACGCTGTTCCCGACCCCCATGCCGGGGTGAGGATCTGCCTCGCGGACCCCTGATCAGGCAGCAGGGGTGGACGGGCAGCGCGCTGCCAGCCCTCTCCTCCCTTCTCCCGTTTTTGCCTGGCTCCCCATCCACGGCTCATTGCGGGTGGGAGAAGCGATGCTTCACCCCACGAGGCGGCTGCCCAGCCGCTGCCTGCGGTGGCAGGGACAGGCTGCTTGGTGGGGACGCTCTCGCTGGTGTTTCTCATTGCTGACCGCTTCCTTCTCACCCTCTAGCTGAAACGCCAGAAAGCCCTGCTGAAAACGCAACTGCTCTCACGTACACCATGAATTTAATCAAGGGCAGAAACAGGCAGCGGAGGCACGAGCGGGGCAAGGGGTGGAAGCATCCTGCGGGCAGGGGCTGCCGCCGTGTCCTGTCGCGGGGTGCAGAGCCACGGGGTGCAAGGCCATGGGGTGCTGGGGCAGCAGGCGCCCCGTCGCAGGAGTCAGCAATGTATCGGCCTCCAGGTGCTGGCCCAGGCTCGTGGAAACGCCTCCCGGTGCTGCAAGTTATTTGCCCCCCCGTCGTAACGATGCTTCACTGCCTGCGAGCGATGGGCAAGGCTCCCATCAGCTGGGAAAGCATTTCACCCTGCGTCTGGCTGCGGTGCTGAGCTGCTCCCTGGGCAGCGCGGGTTACTGGGGCACCGTGGCCGGGACTGGAGCAACGCCCAGCACCGGCTGTTCCAGCGCGGCGCTGGAGAACATCGCTCTCGGCTTCCTCGGCGTCCACCATCCCCTCTGAGCCGTGACCGCTGAGCACTGAGATGTGAGCTCCCTGAAAACACATCCAGGCGCAGCACGGGCTGTTCCTCAAGTTTGCAAATTGTCTTGCTGGGGAGCACGCAGCCGGTGGGAAGGGCTCACGTGTGCTTTTGAGTTCCCCCTTGTGCAGTCACTTTTAAGGCACCAAACATACAGCTTGCTAGTGAAATAAAAATGAATGGTTGTCAAAGGTGCTGCAAAGCTTGGCAGAACAGTAGGACCTTTTATTCTGGGAGAGCTCAGCTCCAACACCTCCAGCAGAGGAGCTCCATCCCTCCGGTGCATGGGCACCACCGTGTCCCACCCCCGGGACTGCGGCAGCCACAGGAGGGGAGTGTGCTGCTTGTGCAGAGCCCAGAGTTTCTCCCGTTCTAAGCGCTGTTGGCTTTTTCCAGGGGTAGGGGTCCGGATCCCTCCCCTGCCCTTCTCCCCGAGTCTCCCCAAGGCCGCTGCTGCTCCCCAGCTCCCCTCCAGCACGCTGGGAATCAGCAGCGCACGTGCCCTTTCCCAGCATTCCATCCCAAACTGCCTCTGACGTTCCCAGCATTCCGTCTCCTGACTGCTGAAGGCTGCCCAGCCCATGAGGGCTGCTCTGCCCGTGCCCCGGCACTGGCTGGGACCTTGGGGACTGTCCCTTGCCTCTCCCCGGGGTATAGAATCATAGAATCACAGAATCATTTGGGTTGGAAAAGTCCTTTAAGATCCTCAAGTCCAACCGTTCCCCTACCCTTGCCATCCCACCACTAAACCCTGGCCCTAAGCACCACATCTGCACAGCTTTTAAATCCCCTCCAGGGACGGGGACTCAACCCCTTCCCTGGGCAGCCCCTTCCAGTGCTTGACAACCCTTTTGGAGCGATGAGGGCTCCCCTCAGCCTCCTCTTCTCCAGGCTGAACACCTCCAGCTCCCCCAGCCGCTTCCCATCAACCTTGGGCTCCAGACCCCTCCCCAGCTCCGCTGCCCGTCTCTGGACACGCTCCAGCCCCTCCATGTCCTTCTGGGAGCGAGGGGCCCATTATACATTATAAATACATCATTCTGGGCACAGAAGGCTGCTGTGGAAAACACATCGCTGCATTCATCCTTCTCTGGTTTCTTCCCTTCCTTGCACACAGTCCCCCCGCACTCTGCTTTCCCCGCTGTCAGTGGACATAAGCTAATACAGAACGAGATATTCATGCAAAAGGCCTTTGGAAATATTCATTGCTCATCTCTTAACAAGATTACCCCTGAAATCCTCCATTGCTCTGAGGGAGATTTAAACCCTTTCAGGCTCTCGGTAACCATAGCAGCACAGATGTGAAAACACAGGGGAGACAACTGATGTGAAAAATCAGTGGGGATGTTCGGAGAGGCCGTGTGCGACGGCAGCACCGAGGCAGGGGAGCCTCTTGTCTGCGGCACCTTTCTTTGCCTAACCCAGCCAGGGCTGGCTCTTCACCCCACCCGGACCACACAGGACTTTTTGCAGAAATGACTCAAACTGCAGACAGCAGTGGTGGCTCCCATGGCACCCAGGTCACCTTCCCGGCCACAATTTGGGAAAACCTCCATGGCTGGCGCTGCCACTTGGCATTTCCAGTGTGTCCATCAGCTCCTGGCTCCGTCCCTGCAGGCTGCTGGCAATAACGGGGATGGTTTAGAGCCAGGACAGGGTGTTTGGAGCTCGGGTTCCTCCTTCACCTTGGGCACCATTTCTGCACCTGCAAGAGAGACACTGGGTGCTGTGAGGTTGAACAGATCCATGTTTTCAGGCCCTTTGGAATGAAATACTGGGAAAGCAAGCAGTGAAGGCATTGCACAGGCCCCCTGAGCCTCCGAGAGCTGGCTGAGCCCTGGGGAGCTGCGCCATAGCCGCTGGAAGGAACCGTGAGAAACCCCTTCCATCTCGTCTCTTGAAAAGCCCTGGTACTATGTCCATGTAAGCACAAAGAATCAATCACAGAGTCATGGAATCCCAGGCTGGAAGGGATCTCAGGGACCATCTGGTCCAACCTTTCTAGGCAAGAGCCCAGTCTAGACCAGATGGCCCAGCACCCTGTCCAGCTGCGGCTTCAAAGTGTCCAATGTGGTGGAGTTAACCCCTCCTCTGGGGAGATTATTCCAATGGTTGACTGTTCTCGTGGTGAAACATTTTCTTCTTATGTCCAACTGGAGTGTCCCCAAGAGCAACTTGTATCCAAGAAGCATTAACCAAATTATTTTTGGCTTTAAACAGCTTCCAAAACTGGGGTGAGATTACTTGTCACGCCCTGCTTCCTTGCCATTTCAGTTCTTCATTTCCACTGATGCCGATGGCGCCAGGCACCAAAATGCGATCGCTGCTTCATTCACGTGCCTAAGCCCAGCACCCCCTGCTCATCCACCCCTTCGCCTGGTTTTTGGCCGGCTGAGGTCCTATGGCCGTGCCATCGCATCTTCTGCATCCTCAGCTCTGTCTGACTCCTGTGGCTCAGTCCCTGGCATCGCCTTTGGGCTCTCCAGACAGAGCTTCAGCTTGGCGAGTGAAGGTGCAAAAACCCCGCAGGCTGCCACAGTGTTCTGGGTATTTTTGGACACCAGACCCATCGCCAGTCCTGTTAGGGATCCAACCTTCCCCTTCTCCCAGGGCGGGCTGAGCCGAGGGCAGGACTGCTCACCCAATGCAATCTCTTGGCTCTCCTGATAGATCAGGTGGGAAAGCTCTTAGCATGGCTAAAATGCAACGCTAATTGGGGAATTAGGAGGCAGCAATAGTTCTCGTGAAAGGGGCTTTTGAAATCCACAGAATAAATTCAGGCAGAACTAAACTGCTACTTTGCTATGGAAGGAAAACCAACAGCATTAAAAATACAAAAAACGAGTCCAAAGCTAGAGACACCCCCACACACGCACAAATTTAGGATAAAAACTAATTTTAACTTTTGAGCAAGTTCCCTTTGCACTTGCACTTTGCATAAATCAGCTTCTGAACCGGCTCTAGCGTGGAACAGGGACAGTGCCAGCTGAGGGAACACACCCAGCGGGGGCAACCTGCAGCTCTACGAGCAAACCCGATTCCAGAGGTGATGCCCAGCCACACGGAGACGGGGACCAACACACCCCCCAGCCCTGCCGCCCCATAAAGCAACCAAGCCCTCCAGGCCAGGGGTTTGCCGGAGCTGGGTCACGGCCGGCGTTCCCACCCACGGCTGCTTGGAGGCTGCTCGCGCAGACCGCAACACCTCGTTTGCAGGGAGATTTTATTTTCCCCACTGTTTAAATATTTCGTAAAACGGCAGAATAACAACAGCCAAACATGGAGGTTGTGACGCACGGGTTTCGGGGAGATCTTATTTTTCCCTTCAGGTCAAATATTTCATAGGCCCATGACATTTGCAGCGACCCTGCCTGCAAACAAGTCCCCAGCCCCAGGTAAGTGCAAGAAGCGCTGCGGGTGACCAGCCAGCCCCTGCCATGTCCGGCCATGAGCCACCCAACGGGTGGGGGAAGCCCCACCGAGCTCCCCTGCTGCCAGCAAGCCCATGCCAAGCGGCACGCATTAATCTCCAGGGAGGACAAAAGGGCAGGACGGCTCCCGCAGCGCCACGGCTGCGATGCTGCCGGCTCCCCGGCGCTACTGGCAGCTGCGGGCGATGCAAGTGCAATGTGCAACGTAGCGCGGTGCTCTCCAGGGCTGGAGTGGCTTTCCAGGACTGAGCTCCGCGGATTGGCCCGGAGCACCCCGCTCTCCTCCCTCCCTGCCCTCCCTCCTTCAGCACCCTCAACCCACGGAGATTGGACAGCCTGGTGCCACATGGCAGAGAGGAACCAGGATAAAAGATGAGCTGGACTTGGGGACTGTAGCGTCCGCAGCAGAACAGCCGGGAGAAGCTTGCAGGGAGGTGGCACCAAACTTTGCCGGCTGCACCAAGCCAGTACAGGGGAGGACAGCTGGACAGAGGGACACCAGGGCTGCGGCCATCCAGGGACACCTGTGGGGCGAGCGCCAGCTGCGGAGCATCCCGTCCCCTCTGCACCCAACCATGTCCCTGGCGGTGAAGGAGAAGAACCACGTGCGGTTGGTCTTCTTGGGCGCCGCTGGCGTGGGTAAGACAGCCCTCATCCGCCGCTTCCTGATGGACACCTTCGAGCCCAAGCACCGGCGCACGGTGGAGGAGCTGCACAGCAAGGAGTATGAGGTGAGCGGGGCCACGGTCAAGGTGGAAATCCTGGACACCAGCGGCAGCTACTCCTTCCCGGCCATGAGGAAGCTCTCAATCCAGAACAGCGATGCCTTTGCCCTGGTCTATGCCGTAGACGATGCCGAGTCCTTCGAGAGCGTCAAGAGCTTGCGGGAGGAGATCCTGGAGGTGAAGGAAGACAAGTTCCCTCCCATCGTGGTGGTCGGCAACAAGGCAGAGAGCGGCAGCGAGCGGCAAGTGCCGGCGGAGGCCAACTTGCCCAGCCGGGTCAGCCCGGCACTCTGCAAGAGGAGGGAGACGTTGCCCAAGGAGCAGGCGCTGAGGCCCCCCATGAACAAGACCAACAGCTGCTCGGTGTGCTGAGCCGGCCGCCCGGGGCTGGGAGGAAGGCGCTGGCAGCAGAGCCACTGGCTGGAAACTCAGGTGGACTGGGTGGGGAGAGGCGCTGCCTCGGCCAAAACCAACCCTGCTGCCTCCCACCCCTCCCCTCCTCTTCCCCACCCAGCCCGCCGGGAGCGGGGACGGGAGG